CCCACAAGAGTTTCCCACAAGAGTGTCCCACAAGAGTGTCCTGCAAGAGTGTCCCACAAGAGTGTCCCACAAGAGTGTCCCAAATGAGTGTCCCACAGGAGTGTCCTGCAAGAGTGTCCCACAAGAGTGTCCCACAAGAGTGTCCCACAAGAGTGTCCCGTAAGAGTGTCCCACAATAGTTTCCTACAAGAGTGACCCACAAGAGTGTCCCACAAGAGTGTCCTACAAGAGTGTCATTTGGACATATGTAACTTTTTGAACGTGTTTGCATTCGGGTTCGTGGGCTCCATCTTGTTTGTTTTAGGAAGTCTTTGTCCTTTCTTTCTTCCGGAGCATGTTCAAACTTCATTGAACTTTGGGGGGTAATTTGTTGAATCTGGAGATGCTCCAAACTTTGTTTGGAATGTGGTTTGTGAGATGATTTGTCTCTATATGCAGTGCAAAGATGAAGAGGAACACGTCAGCTTGGATCAGTTTGTATGCAAAAGCCAAGGCTTACACCTACAGCTTGGTTGCATGGGTTGACTTTTTTAACACACCATCTCTTTGAATGTTTCAACCAGTCGTACCAGCAAAGCCATTTGACAATGGCCTTCAGCACCCCAGTCTTTGCCTTGTGCAACCTTACAAAAGCACAGCCACCATTTTCGCAGTTGGCTGGTATTTCAATGATAGTTGGAAGAACTCATTTTGGAGCCTGCACGACATGTTTCCAGTTCCCTGGCTTATTCAGACAGCCTGAAGGCAAAACTATTTGGGACACATTTTGAAATGGAACATTTTGGCAATTCTGCTTCAAGGAGTGTTGTAAAGGTAAATTGTAAAGGCTTGAACATCACAATGCTTTCTGATTACAGTTTGAAGTTCAGCTCCAAAACAGAGCTGCCAGTTCCAAATTAGTCTAAGTCTAAGTCTAAGTCTATAGTAGTAGTCACGTCTATTCTAAGGCCCTTCCGGTTTTGATGCCATATGTGATTCTCCAAGGGCCTTTTGTTCAATTCAACCCTGCATGTCAAACACAGTGGAACGGAAAGACTGGCAAATACTGATTTGGAACCTCAGGACGCACCCTCAGAAGTGTGTATTGTGTGTATTCTTCTTGAGGAATGGTACGGGGTGCTTGTTGTTTTTCCAGCGAGTGTAGAGAGGATGGTTCCAAATCATATGGTGAATTCAAATCATTTGTTGTGCTCCAGCTTCACAAACATTTAGGGGGTCGATACAAAGAATGTCGAAAGGCAGAGTTCAAGCAGGTTCTGTTTCAATGCAAAATGACTCAAAGAAGGCTGTGTTGTTGCTGGGAAAACATCGCGCCACTTGCATTCCGTACCCCACAAATCTGTGGATGTTTAGTCGGGTCTTCCAATGTTGATGGTCAGGAGGCACAGGGTTTATCTTCAAGTAGTACTCTCCCTGCAACTAACATGGAAGTTGACAACCCCCTGTTTGGTATTCGGATTTCATGGTCTTCCTTTCGGGGCCATGCCATCCACGTAACCATGGGGCTGTTCTAGGGAGTGTATGGAAAGAGCACAGGTCATTGAACACACATTTGGTTTGTGGTCGCCAGGTTTAATGTGAGACAGGAACCCAAGCGGTGGCCGGACTTCGAAGAATAGCAATCTGTGGATGTTCCTCACTAGAACAGGAACAACACATGCATAACGCTGCCTAACAACAGGCATATCTGTTCAAAGCCTGGTCAAACACCGGTTCACGTCACTGAAATCGCACCGTCGTTGCTTGCTCCATCATGGGTGGCACGTCACCCACCGTGACCGTCGTCGTCACCAAAGCGTGTGAAACCGGTGGAGGCATTGCTTCTAGGATGGGACACTCGGAGGTGGTCCATGGGCTTCTGCAGGCCAAGGTGGGCTGGCTGGGCATCGGACGTTCAGCGAAGTTCGCAGCCGTTGGCCGTTCTTGTCGGACCGGCATGGGCCGGAGGACCGGAGGTTCGGTTGGAAGGGAACGCCAGAAACTCGTGGATGGGTTTTTATCAAGCATTTGGTTGTTGGCTGCAGAGGTCCTTCTTACTAGAAGCAGATGGCTCCGCCCCAGAGAAGCAGATCATTTGGTTTCTTCGATCACTCGGGCAAGAGAGGACATCGGGTAGGCCGAATCAACAATCAATACCTCCAAGCAGGTGTTTGTGTTTCTTTCCTTTGACTTTGACCCAAGATTTTCCAAGACAGGTAATGTACCATGACAGGTACGGTGGCAAAGCAACCACATATATATATATATATAGACCCCAAAATAGATAGAAAAGTAAATCCCCACTAAACATTTGCGTATTGCAACACGTTTCTATCTATTTGGGGATCCCTATATAACGTTCACAAAATACTTCACCTTCTTGTTGGACAGCTCCGGCTTGGTTGCCCCCTTGCGGTCATGAAAAGCGACTTAATCTGTAGAAAACTACCCACGCCATCAGTCTTTTTGAGCTGGACCTGTGTGGCGGTAATCTTTAAAGATACAGGGGACCTCTATGTTTCATCCAATGCATCTCAAAGCAACTCATTGGACTCATGCTATCAACAACTTAATTTTCCCTACCTAAGAGAGTCGGATTCTACACTGGTCTAGTGAACTATCTCTATGTCTTTGACCTTCATGTTCAAAGCAATGGGTGTGTGTGTGTGGGTGGGGATGAAAAAACTGTCCAGACTGGACACAATTGCAACCGTTGGTCGAGTTTCTCCGGATGACAAAGATGATCCGTACTGATCATCTCCAGCAGATTGTCCAACCAATCAATAGCAAAAACATCAAGGTGCAACCTCCAAAATTCTCACGTTGCTTGGGTGTTTGGTCCTCTTTGGGGTTCCAACCAATCAACATCAATCAACACTTGCACCCTTTGGGACAGAACGATCTTCATCGAAGGATCCCGTGACGTCCCTCCGTTCAGGCGGAGATTGGCCAAGCACTTTCCGTGGCCGCTCAGGCGCGGTGTGGTTATTGGTTCGGGGAATTGGTTTTGGGGAAATCACCAAGAGAGGTTAAGTGACCATAACTAGGACCTTACTGGGGTACCGAACTGGGATAGTCTATAAGGTCCTTCAACCTCTGTTGGCAGACCCTATAGATAGTGGTCCCCTTATAGAGACCGTGGCACCGTTTCTAAGGACCTCGGGCCCCTAGGAGGGATCTACTTGTTTGACCGGTCCAGGAGGTCCAAAACAACAAGACCGAAAGACTCCTGTTTGACCCAGGAAAACCAGGATTATGTGCTTCCTCCTTGAGTGGTCTTGTTGACCAACTCCAGTAAGATGAGGTCATTTTGTTTGTAGGGAGAGCCGCATAGCCTTTTTGTTTGCCTAATTCGGGTCCAAAGACTCTCCTGCTAAGAACACAGTCCTTGGGGGTGGAACACCCATGGAGGAAGTCAGGGCGCTCAGAACATCCACAATCCTTGAGGGTCTGAAAACCAGCCCGACATGGACTAATACTGTAACAAGGGCATCGCGGTGCATCGTCAAAGGTGCATCGCTGTTTTCGTACGCACCGGGAAAATGGCTAATGACTAGTAACAAGGGCATTACTACTAGGGTGGGTTTGGGGGGTCTAACCACCTTCTGAGGATATAGTTGGAGCCCTAGGGTAACTTCTTATAGAGAGCTTTTTTTGGGGTGCCGAACTCGCTTGAACTGCTCATCGCTTGCTGCCTCCATCCGTAGCGAACTAGGCGGGCCACTTGCCGATCGTCGAACTCCTCTGTGAACATCACTGCGCTTTTCGGCCGTGCGTTTCGTTTTTTTCAACCAACGAGAAAGACGGCGATCAGGTGATTGATGGGTTCGCTCGGTGATTGATGTGGTGGTTTCAGATATATTTGATCTCAAAATTATCTTTAAACCACTTTGGGATGATTGATCCCACTGGTGATGTTCAAGCGGAAACCACTGACCAGTTGTTTCTTGGTCACACGAGACTCGTCTTTTGGGCCCTGCGAGCGAGCGTGTCCCTGTCCACGTGTCAAACACGGGGTGGCCATTGGGCACACGTGACGTGGATCTTTCATCCTGGGCGTCCGTAGTACAAACTACCGGCATGCCTGGTTCTTCAAAGTGACCTAACTTGATAACCTGGTTGGTTCGGTCCTTTAAGCCGAATCACTGAACCTTCAAAAGGTCACGAACTGAAGAAGCTGGTGGTTAAGAACCAGTGTTGATGGGAACAAACGATGTATTTTGCTCCGCAGTTCTTATGTCCAGGATCGGTTTCTTCAAATGGACCACTGAGGCGACCATGGATTCCACTCAAAGGCGACCCTGGACCCGAACCAACTGAGGCTCAAATGAGCTACATGTTTTTTTCTTCGGCCCAAAAACCTTAGCGAAGTTGGTTTCTTCGGTCAAAACCGAGAGGCTCCTTTCTGAGCCTTACTGGGTAGAAGAAGGATCACCCACCCACGATCGCCGGATGTTCTCCCTGCTACAAAGGAACCTTGTGTTTACAAAAAGAATCGCGTGGTTGAGGACATGTTCGGTGGTTGCAACATGCGTGCATCAGGCTACCGAGTTCTATAGCAAAAACCTAAGAGTTTTGAGTCCTCACGTTCGGCCAAAAAGGGGGGGGGGCTCTTAGGATCGTTTCCGGATCACCCCAAGGATCCGATTCCCGATCCGATTCCCGATGGGACCACGTGTGCGGGCGCGGCGCAGCAGATCTTCTGCGAGGTGTTCTCGTGCACCGAACGAAGTCAGCTCCTCCGAACGAAGCGAAGAAGTCATGGCGAACGTCATTCGAACGATGAACACCTGTTGGTTTCTGGATTTTGAGACAAAAGGCTCAGAGTAAGGACCCTTCAGTTCGCCCGGGTTTCGCCTTACACCCTAGGGTTTTGGACCGAAGTAACCATGTAGCGGTTGGTTTGGGGCCAGGGTCGCCTCAACCCTAAACCATTCAAGTGGAAGGAACTGTATTTGGTTGTTTGAAAGTAAGCTCTCCAAGGACCTCTCCCCATACCCCCCCCCCCCCAAGCTGGCCGGTCGCCACGCTGGTCGTCCGAGGACCCGAATGTGGCTGGTCGCCACGGCAAGGTGGCGTTGGACACATGGCGCATGAACGAAATCCATACTGTCCAAAGGCTCAGAGTTCGGACCCTGCCCTACCCTCAGTTAGCTATAGGGTTTTTGATCCTCACTTCGCCAGGAACAAAATGGACCGAAGCAACATGTAGCAGTTGCTTCGGGGCCGAGTTCGGGTCGCCTTTGGGTGGCGTCGTTTCTTTGAAGGGAAAGGGAATGAAGTGGATGGGATGGGTCTGAAGATCCAGTTACAGGGACCCAAGCTCCACTCATTGACCGTTCTTCCTCGGGAGACCCTCGATCGGTCGGTGAGCGTCCGATGCTTCCCACATCAAAGAAGCACAGCCTCGGTCGATGCTCGGTGGCACGTCGAGGACCTGGCGCTGCAGCAACGGCATTTGCCGATCTTTAGCTTGCTGGCCTCCTATGGTGCGATGGCCACGGAAGACACCAAGGATATGGATCTACTGCAGAGCTGCGCACGGGGGCATGTGGAGAGTATCAGCAGCTTGGATTTGAGGTGGTTCTGGGGCAGGTAAGGTCGGAATCCGCCATTCAGACAGCAAGTGCCACAACACAGCGAGATTCTTCAGGTGATTCAGGGTTCAAAGGGATGTTGTAAGGGTTGATATCTTTTTGGTGGGTGCAGGTGAGTAGGGTCCCATCTTGCTGGGGTCATACTTGGGTAATTCTTCACATATCTCCAGGACGGGCAAACAAAGACCCATGCATGCTCAGCAAGCCATGCTAAGCACGTGGTGAAGAATCCCACGATCCCAGTGAACAAGGTTTGCCTCCCAATGTTTGAGGTTCAATAGCGGATGGTGGGAACATCAACTTGGGCGTGATCCGTGTTTCTGATCTGCCCAGAACTTGTGATTGTGTGCTACTGGGCTTGTCACCGGGTCAAGAACACTGGATGAAAAACATGACTTGCTCCATGTACCACTTGCAACCCCTAAACACCCCGGCTTCCACCAGCGGTGTTTCCCCCACGGCATGGAAGCAAACTGACAGCTGCTGTTCCACCCTTTCGAGCGTCAGCTTGAACCTGACATGGAGAGAAACGAGGTCTGCTGTGTGACGCGAAAGCTGATGTGAAGCGTGGCTGCAGATTGGTGAAGGAGAAGTCCTGAAACCTCTAATAAACCGTCGAAGTCCTTCACGCCAGGCTGCGGGTTCAGGGTGGTTGGGGTCGAGTGCCGGTGTTCATCGCTTGGAACATGTAGACATGTAGACGCTTGATTCATCAACCCCCCCATATGAAGAGGATGTCCAATTCAATTGGGGCAGCGGGTTTATGGTCCTTCGTCGCGTCCCCATCACCGGCCGCTCCGCTCCTGCGCGCGGCCGGGGTTTGCGCGCGCCAACCGGCGTGGGGTGTGTTTTGAGGAATATCAGTGATCAAGATGGTATGACACCCCTCAGCTGCTTGGCGCAAGTACTGTAGTCCAAAACATATGGAGTTGTTCATCTTCCTGCAGTTCATCTACATGTTTGTTGCAAAAAAATGTACATACTTGGGTTTTTGTGAGCAAGCGCAACCACTCATTAGGTTTTGTCAGTCTTGACAGTGGGGAAGACTTCTCGACAGATCCTAAAGGATCTATGACCTAAGTATATAGTATATCTAAGTTCACTTGTGGCATCAGAGCAGTCAGAACATATCGGAGACCAGATTGCCCAGGGTAAACCGGGAATTCTCAAAATGTAATCATTTTGTCTCAATGACTCATCCAAGAAAATCCAAGAACGGAAACATCAAAACAGTGAGAAGAAGATGCGAATGAGCCTGATGTGTTTGATGTCAGATGTGTTGATGTGTTTTGGAAGAAATGTCAAGCTTGATGTGACAGGTGACAGGTGACATGTCGCACTGTCACTCCTAATTTGAGTTGTAGAATTGGAATATATAGACCGAATATGGCAGTAGAAACTTCGTTCATGATACAAGTTGTAGAAATTGATATACACCTAGTTTGTATCAACCCTGTTTTGACTGCCAGGCATGAAGACAAGTCACTCGTACGACACACACTAAATTTGAATGTTGGCAAAGTGAGTGAGGCTGCTTCAAAACAAATCTTTAATCGAGTCAAATCATCCTCCTAGTCCGAGACTCCCTATACCCTTCCTTGCTGCCGTTTAACCGTTTTGCACGTATGGCACTTCTGCGCGATCGATATTAGGGATGAAACCCTTTCACAGCTGAATAGAACTGAACGCCTACACTCCGAGTGAGTGGACACGCCTACCTTTCCAGCCTGCACCCTACCGCCTGCACCCTACCGTCATTCTTGCGGGATACTTGGCATGTGTTTTCCTGAGGAATCTGTCGCTTCTAGGTTTGGTTTCACTACTTTGCTCTACTCTGCTTGCTGGCCGCTGTCCCTTGTTTGCGCCTCCCCCAAAGATGTGTGCCACAACGGACGTGTTGTCCCTGACAAGACACCATGGCTGCAAACAGGACAGCAGCTGACGCACTATGACACATGAGACGTGAGAACACCGAGCATAAGCACAACACACTCACCCAGGGCAATTGACAGGCACGATAGCAGAGAACAAACAACAGGCAGTAGACAGTGACAGACCTAATGACACCACCAAACATCACCACACCGATCCACACCATATATATTTCCACACCCAACATAGCCGAGTGGGAATAGCTCGAAGTGAAGTGATGTCCATAAACTGTTCATTTGTTGAACTTGACCCCATGAGCGCTAGTAGCTGGAGTTGCCCAATGTTGCATGCAACCCAACGGTGTCAAAAGGCCGAAAGGTTTCGTCTCTTTTTCCGGAGCCGTGTGGCCGTGACAGTCCTCCTCAGACCCTCCTCAGACCCCTCCGACCCTACCCTAGCTGCAGTTCGGAGACCCCGTCCGAACATCGATCACAGGATGTTCGGTCACAAACAGGCTGAGTTAAGAGGAAGATGTGGGAAAGGATTCCTGCAAGTGGGGACCAAGCTTGAAGCAAGCCATATGGGTGTCGTGTTGGGGTCCCTCAAAACCTGCAAATTTTGAGACCCCCCGGACTCCAGAGCCCTCCATATGAGGATCCAGGAGCGTTTGGGTAATGGGAACATGCTAATGATCGTTCTATATGTTCTATATCTTATAGTTCCACGTTCCGTGTCACTTTGTTCGTCTTGTTCCGTCACATTTCCTGCCAGAAGAGTGCACGGTGCACGTGGCAAAGATCCTGCAGAAATCAAGGATACGCAGGTTCCGCCAACATTCCGTCGAGATCGGCTCCGTTATATATCCCCAAATTCCGTCGAATGGTCATAATGGGCTGCTAGGGGTGGTCAAAATGAACCCGTGGGAGATGCCCAACCGTTGTAGCGGTACCTGATGTTTGGTTCACTGTTTGGTTCATTTTGGATCAATTGATGGGTGTTTTCGCGCATTTCATGGCCAACCTGCCCTTGTGGCCCCGAGGGCTGGTGTCAACATGTCTCAACCAGAAAGAATCACCGATAAGAAAAAGTATTCAATTCAATTGCCAGCGAGCGGATGCCTATGAAGAAGAATCTCTATGCCTTTTCTTTGCCCTTTCCTTTTTGCCCGTTTTCTTGTTTGTTTGAGAAAACACAAAAAGGAGCTTCCAAATTGAATACTGGAATGATGTAGACCCTCAAATCATATTGTACATGCCTATATATGCAAACGTCCCAGCCCGACTGCCAAGAAATGCAAACCCCCATATGTACACTCCGTTTGGGGTGTTTTCATCGGTGGACTTCCGAGACCCGAGGAGCTGGGTCTCGGTCCTCCACAAAGAGGCTATACCCGACCCGGCTGCCGGAAAAAACACACCCCCACTGCCCACCATCTGCGACCCGCGTGTGACGTTTGGCGCTTCAGCTGTCTTCGTGTGCTTTGCCCCGCACCTCTGACCGTCCGTCGCATCCGAGGCTACTGCGCTCAAGAGGGTCTCCTCGGCCCAGCCCAGCGATTGCTCCACGCCCGGGCGTATCCTGATGGTCTCGACGGTCTCAGCGGGCGGCGCCACGTGGACGGCGCGACGGCGCTGTGTTTGGCGGTGCATGAAGGGCACAAAGAGCCGCCTGGGAAGAGGTTTCAAGCAGGCTTTGTTGTTATATGTGTATTTCTTCAGAATTGCTTTGGAGCAATGGATGAAACAAAAGAAGCTGTTCTCTCAGAAAACACGACATATCATGCTGTAGCATGTGGCCTTTGGGCGGCCTTTTGGTCGCCTTTTTGGTTTGTTTCTGGCATCACATGACCCATGTGAGAGAGTAGGAAAACCCCCCATGACCCATGTGGTATAGGGAAAGGTAGAGGTTTTTTTTGCACTGACCCCATGTGCTTTCCTGGTGCAGGTGCAGTCATGGAGAATTCGGTCGTTTTCCGTGTGATGAGTTGATGAGTTTGGTTTCTTCGTGTGGTGCTTTGAACTAAGACATCGTTCACTCGAAATTCCTTGGGTCGGTCCGAACTGACCTGTAACAGTCGGTAAACCAGCAAATCACGTTTTTTTGAACAAGGCCTGCCACCTCCGGCTCCATCATCATCCCAAACGGGGCCCTGGACATAGGATAGACCCGGTCACCATTCCCATGGTCCAACGGCCTGCAACGAAACCCACAGTAAATGAAAGAGGGGATAGCGGGAGACCGTCGTGTACATCCAAAGGTTCGGGACTATCGTCGTGTACCATCGACCCCTCTATCGGGACGATAGCTTCCCAAGTCAGGACGATCACTGACGGTTCCTGTGGATTTGAGAGTTGGAAGCGGAAGTCCGGTGAGTTGGTTGGACTAGTAGTAGCCACTCCTCGTGACTGGAGGAGGGCGCCCGTAGCATAGGGCAGCCTCCCTGCTAGCCTGCCGTTTGCTTTAGCACCTCCCTTGAGCAAAAACAGGGTGGTGCCAGCACGCGATGGCCAAGTGGAAAGCAATGGAAAGCCTCGCAGTTCAATATGTCTATCAACTGGCTTAGCGGTGCTTTCCTGCTTTCCACTTGGGATGTGTACGCGAGCGTACAACAAACGGGGAGTTGCTTGCAATGACTTGTTCCAGTCTGTTAGTTTGACGTTCTGGTCACCATTTGTTTGTATGCCTGAGTTCAGCCAAGTGGGGTCGCTCTTGGAGTTGGGCAACGTTTGATGGCGGTTGTGTGAACCTCCGCCACGGTGCTTTGCTTGGCTGTGTCTTTTTTTTCTTTTGACCCCGCCCGCCCTCTCCTTTTATTGAAGGGGGTGCTTATCCGTTGCGACCTTTTATATAGGTAAGTTTGGGGGTGGTTGGTTTCCTCCTTTTACTACCCTTGCACGGCTGGTTTGCTGCGCTGGTCCAGGTCGCATTTCTCCCCACTCCAGGGTTGCGAGAGTTAAAAAGTGGCATGTCTGGTGTGCAGGGGGCAATGTACTGCTAATGTGAGTCTTACTTCCGGTTGGGCTTGGTGCTTCACCCTTTCTTAACAATTGCTAAGCACATCCCTGCACAGGTTTTAGGGCTAGGCTAGGATTATTTTTTGCAACTAGTGAACAAAGCCTGTGCAGAGGCTGGTGTCCTTGTTGCTGCAAGCAGACGCGGATGAAAACTGTTGCATGGGCGACGGGATAACACCACTTCATTTGGCATGCGGCTCGGAGGGAGATGTCACTGCGGCTCGATGGGTGGAGGTTCGTACCTCGTATTGGTGAAAAGTGATGCGACTTGGCTGTTTCCCGGACCTTGGCCAAAAAAACTTCAAAGCGCCTCCAAAAACCTTGTCTTCATTCGCAGCCGCGTTCAGGTACTTCACATGTTTTTTCATGATCGGAGTGGCGATTTCCAGCGTTTTTGGTGGCGAACGAGTCGTCAGGACTGGTCGTTGGGAACACAGTGAAGTTGGTGGTACATGTTTCAGCTGATGACTCTGATGACTGGTGTTCAGTTTGAGAAGGAGGGAAGACGGGTGTATCATGTTGAGATTCATACCCAGACACTCCATGGGACTGGCATAGGACTGCTGCCCCATTGACCCACAA